TGTTTAACTGAAAAGGCAGCTTTGTGTCCTGGACAAGTTATTAATTTTCCTGATTTTTTAATTTGATGAAATGATAAATTTTTCTTGCATCCTTACAAAAAATATTGTGTATATAATAGCGATGAGTTTACAAGTTAAAGAGATCTTGTGTCATGAGACATCTAAATATCAAGATGTTTTAATATTTAAATCTGAGACATATGGAAATGTACTGGTCTTGGATGGTGTAATACAGTGTACTGAACGTGATGAATTTGCGTATGTTCAAAATTATTTGGATTATATTTAATTATGTACGTTAAATTAACATATTTTGTTTTTATAGTTATCAAGAATTGATTACGCATATTCCAATGACTTGTCACCCTAATCCTAAAAAGGTAGTCTTTACCATTTTTATTATCTATTATCGATGAATTATTTACATAATATTAATCACATATTAGGTTTTGGTGATTGGTGGAGGTGACGGAGGCGTTATTCGTGAAATTGTAAAACATGATTCAGTTGAAGAAGTTACATTATGTGAGATTGATGAGGTACATATTCATACATTTATAATGTATATTGGTAAATAATCAGATGCTTATATATAATGATTTATCTAGGCAGTAATTAGATTATCCAAGAAGTATCTTCCAGATATGGCAGTTGGATTTTCTCATCCAAGGGTTACTATTCATATTGGCGATGGATTTCCTTATCTAAAAGACAAACAAAATACTTTTGACGTCATCATTACTGATTCCTCTGACCCTGTTGGTTAGTGTGATAAAAATAAATATTGTAATTATAACACACATATATTAATAATATATTACATATATAAAATATAGGTCCAGCAGAATCATTATTTCAAGCAGAATATTTTGGGTTATTGAAAAATGCATTGCGTCCAGGCGGAGTTATTTCTACTCAAGGTAACTAACTAACTGAATAACCAACCAACCAACCAACCAAATAATTGACTAATTAACTGGCTATTCTTAAACAAAATTATATATCTATCATTAATTAATTCGCTCACTAACAATCAATCAATCAATCATTCTTAACAATAATGATGATGATGATAGGTGAATGTCAATGGCTTCATCTTCCATTAATCTCTGAAGTTCAGGGATATTGTAGATCAGTATTTAAAGTAGTTGATTATGCATTCACCACGATTCCCACATATCCTTCTGGTCAAATTGGTTTCATCTTATGTGGAAGAGATGATAACGTTGATTTTAGAAAACCAATTAGAACTTGGTCAGAAGAAGAAGAAGCCAAGTTATTTAAGTATTATAATTCAGAAATTCATAAAGCTGCTTTTGTCTTGCCTCAATTTACTAAAAATTTTTTGAAAAGTGCTGATGTAAATCAAAGTTAATTCCATGTCATGTGACTTTAATTAACGTAAGAAATAAATTTGTGACTCGTTATTTTAAAAAGGATAGGATGAAATATCTATAGACTTTATTTTTTTAGTAAAACAAGAATCTTTGTTTTTTTTTTTCGGTGGTTTTACACTTTAAAAAGTCTTTGGTTGATTCTTTAAAGAAATCTATTTTCAACGATGAGAAGGCAAAATCAGCTACTGTTTTTTCTTTACTAGCTTGTAATAATATAGACGACCAATCATTACTTAAAGGTTTAGGGCGAGGCTTTTGAGACTATTCAAAAGTTTTGTTAATTAATTCATTTCTGCAAAACATTTTTGTAGTCGGAAATTAAAGAGTAGGGTTTAATTGTCCATTTGGTTATCAGAGTGGTAGAGAACTCTGAGGTTTTGTGACTCGGTTTTGGTTATTTGCTTTGGTGGAAAGAAAGGTTTAATTTTTGGTTTTTGTTAAACGTAAACGTTTTTGTTTTCGTAAAAGAAATACAGTATAACCCTCGTTTCAATATATTTTCATAATGTGTAAAGTAATAGTAATATCAGTATAACAATGTATTATTATTAGAGTATAGGTTAATAAATCACATATAAACCATTAAACTTATTATGCTAAATATGTCCGGTTTAGATATAGATATCACTATTATTCTCGGTAACAAACAAAGACCGTTGCCCAAACCCTTTAATAATCGTCCTGGATATGATATGAAGTATGTTGTGTCATACATCAACAATTATCATCCTATTTATTATGTTGAAGAATTTGAGAAAATCGAAAGATCATATGACAACTTGTCTATCGTAAAACGGGATGAAAAACTTATTCAATGGGCAGTACGAGTTAGAATCAATCTTCAAGATTTATTAAGTAATAAAAAATATAGTTATTATCACCGATTGTTTTATTTGCATTATAATTACTATCTTATTACCTCATCCTTTCATATGACTGATGATCATTACATAACAGACTAAATAAGAGAAAGATCTTACAAGCTCTTACTTGAATGAGTAATCTCAATCTTAGTTACAGGTTGTGGTCAATAGTTCTTGAAAATTCATTCTTACAATTTAACTGGACAAAAGAAGCAAAAATTTATACGTATACGGAAAGAAGATTTCAACCAAATCATATCGAAGGAATATTAATTGCATATAGAAACGGTGATATCTCAACTCAACGTTGTAGGAGTGTAGAACCCGGTTGTTTCATTATTCAACAGAAATCAAGTTTTTCGAGTAGTTATAGGCGAAGAAGATAATTACTGGACAATAATCACTTTTTATATTTCATCCGCCCGTCGATAATGGGATAAAAATGTCTATTAATCCAATTAAGTAAGCTAGCAACTATTTTGAACTTTTTTTATTTGTACATATATATATATATATATTAACCAAATTTACCTATAGAAAAATTTTCAACAAAATTAAACCGAACAAGAAAGTATGAAATTAAAATAAGTTTAGAGGCTTCTATTTATTTTCTTATTTACTTATTTACATCTGATTATGAATATTTATCAGAATAAAAAAGAATTTTCGACCAAAAATAATGAGCATGATCCTGATTGTAAAGACAGGTTTGCAATATCTGTCATTCAAATTTTATATTAAATCTGAAGCTTGCTATTTTTATTTAACATAGTATATATTTAAGGTTCATTGTGGATTCCGTATACTATGACGATTCAGATGCATTTTTGGTATACTTTACTCAAGAATCCGATGACATTTGTGATGAAGCAACTGGTTACCTCCTTGTCTGTTTTAATAATATTGGCAAAATAGCATCAATTCGTATAGCATCACCATCAAAGCATATCCGAGGGATAGCAAGCGAGGAGCCATCCTTTACACTCAATCCTACTTATGATGAGAAACGTGATGTATTTAAGATTAATTTTACAGATTCTGCTCCCATGACCACGTTCAAAAAAACTGAAGTTGAAGATGTCGAGCTGGAAATAGATAATGAAGGAAAGCTCGTTACATTGTTGTTTCATAATGCCAGTAACAAAATGTCAAACATATCATAAACAAATGTGTAAAGAGAAAAGACAGAGATATCATTATATAATCATTTAAAAAAAATTTTAAATAATTTGCTTTTATACTAATCGGGTATTTTCGATATATAATAAAAAAATAAAACAATGCAACTTCTAATATAACTTCATAAGGCTCTTTTTGGTGATCTACAATGTATCTGAATTTGAAGTTTTAACTCTATTCAGCGAAACCCAATTCTCGAAGATGCTCTGGAATAACTACATATGGGTCTTCGTAATACCAAATATACCTTAGTACAATACAATTCTCTTCACACAATTCTTTTTTTAATTGATCCCGATATAACTGTTTGTTAAATCCATTCTGATCTCGATGAAAGAATTCTACATAACGCTCATGTTGTTCTCGTTGGACTTCAATTGCAAGACCATATTCTGGATAATAAATGTCAAGTTTAACCCATATGGATATTCTGATGTTTTTAAGAAATCAGGTTTCCGAATTTTTGATGGAGGTCCTAAATACTCGGTAATTATTTTTCGACACAGGTCTTCATATTTATTTCGACAAAATGGACACCACCTATTATGTTTTATATGATTCAAATTTGCGTTCCATTCATGCCCTTTAGCACAACACCATTGTAACGGAGCCTGGCAATTGACATACTTTTCTGAAAGGCAGTTACCATTTTTACTATAAGCAATTTGTTTAGCTTCTTCAATAGTAGACCGAATATTACCTGCACAATGTGGACACCAGGTATTAGTATTTTTTACATGATTTAAATTTGCATACCATGTGTGTCCCTTAATACAACGCCATGATAAAGGTAAACGAATATTAACAAATGTTTTTGATAGACACTCACCATTTCTATTATGCGCTACTTGTTTTGCGTCTTCAAGAGTACGACGGCCTACATGTGAACACCATGGACACCAATTTCCATTTTTTACATTACTAAGTTGAGCTTTCCATTTATGGTTTTTAGCACAACTCCATTCTAGGGGAGCATGTGAATTGATATATTTATTCGAGAGACATAGGCCCTTTCGTTCTATTGCAATTTCTAAGCGTAAGAAGTTTATTCCGCACGCAATATGGACACCATGAATTAGAATTTTTTATATGATTAAAATTTGCATGCCATATGTGTGTCCTTTATTACAACACCATTGCAATGGTAACATGCAGTTGATATATTGATCTGATAGGCACAACCCATTTCATTTCTTTGCAATTTCGTGTGCATCTTTTATAGTGTATTTGGTTTTGCGAGTCATTATGAATAAAAGTACTTTTGTTTTCTAATATTAGTAAATCTTTAAATTACACAAACTGCTTGGAGAAATTATAAGAAAAGACCCGAATCATTAGCATCTCAAATCTGGAATGCTTTAAGAAACGATAACACCCCCAATGATAAGAAATTTTTAGGTCTAACTCCCCGTAAAGTGAAAAATCCTCAAACTCGGGATCAATTCAATCTCTGGATTGCTGAGAAACTTGCAATGTATAGACATTACCTAGTATGTACAACATCTTTCGTGGTAGAGAATATAAAGAATATAAAGAATATTATATTCCGTATGATTGGATAGGTGATAAGAAATACCAATTACACGATAGATTGCATAAGCATGTTGTAGATTTGCTAAGAGAACGAGGTTACAGAATAATTAATTCCAGACCTTGGTATGAAATGTTAAAATGGGTAGATAAACCAGATAAATATCTTAACAAATTTCGTCAGAATCGAATAATACGTCACAACTATTTTACATTGATAGTTGACGATCAATATGCGGAGCATAGAGTCTCTGACTCATATTTTAATGGATTTTTTTTTGTACCAGATTCCCATGTAAACTGAAAATAGTTATTATTATTTGCAACATCTAGATTTAATGTCATCAAACTAATTTGGCCAAGTTCATAGAACATCTACATCGTGTAAATATGGTCAGTTGATGTCTTGTGCGACTATATGCAGGGATCCCTAAAAT